AACAAAAAACAAAGAAAAATAAATCTGCATTATGAGAAGCATTGCTGAAATGATGCTGTTTACAGAGCACGTTTTAGAGTTCTAGCTCACTTCAATCCACTATTCTTTTAGACATGCAGCAAGAGCACATTACAGACAAGAACTAGGGCAGAAGAGATTGTGCTTATACCACAGAAGTCAGGGAGGTGCTGAGGTGCTGGTCCTTCCTTAAGAATATTTACAATCAGGCTGGAAACTTCAAGACACACCCAGCAGAGTGAACAAGAGCAAGAAGAAAATATTGTTGCACACTGTTATAGAAATAATATGCGATATCAATGGTGGTAGCTTCTCTTTTTGCTCATGGCTTATCAATGCTTTCCGTCTACTAACCTGTTTTCCCTTAACTAGGATTTACAATATCATTTGAAAACTCTTAAAAGAAAAATAAAGGATAAAGTTTTAAATAAATACTTTCAGTGGCAAAGCTTATATTAGTGTCTTAGACTAATTGCAATAATATTTAATTCTGCCCATACCCATAGATTCATTCTGAGAGAGCCCCTATGGATATTAAGTCAGAGTGTGTCGCCTGGCACACATGTAAAACAATATTTTAGTCCCAAATTCTCTCCTTGAAACAGCAAGACCACATGCAAGTCCTGTACAACCTAACTCTCTGAATGGCCAGAGGGCTTGTGTTAAGATTTGTTTATTGATACTCCAGCAAATAAAACAAGCTCCCGGAAGAGGTTCTTCCAAAATATTCGGTGGTGAAGATTTTGGCAAAGGGAGAAAGTGCAAGGAAGCATTGGGACAATAGGCCTTTTTTTAGCACTTCTTAATACCAAGGAATGTGCTTTCAGGTGTGTGAGGTGCTGTTTAAAGCCACCAACACAACTCTGTTCAGTGTTAGCATGCTCCTTGGAAAAGAGATAGGCTGAGAATTTTTCTCTCTCATTCAATTTTGGTTAGCAAAGCTGAAGAGCTCTGCAGGGAACTGAAATGAACAGTAAAGGCTGGTTTAACACAGCTTTTGTCCATTCTTGTTTCAGTTCTGTATCTTTTAACCTGCAGGGCATAATTCTTCCTCCTAATCAATCTCCTTTTGCATTCCTTCTCTTCTTACTTTTAACACACAGCTTAGGATGACTGTCATTCCAGGGAGATCTATACTCCTTCCTAATAGTATAATGGTTACTGCTAAAATTTTTTGATTCGGAGTTATTATATGCCTCCCCCCATTCAAATATCTAAGCTTCCCAGAACTCACTAAATAGCCTCAGCTTTTCAGTTTGCCTTTCTAAGGCCCCAGAACCGGGGATTTATCTTTCACATTTCTCAGAGAGAGGGATTTGGACAAAATGGAACATGCTCAAGTATAGTTTTTATATCCAGACTTTTTAGGTCTTGCTATTCAGTGAAATTATGCATAACACATGATTATTTTTTGCTAATTCAATAATCATTTGGTAAAAATAAAATCTACCTCAGTTTACATCAGAGAGTATCCAAGACCTGACTTTATTGGAAAATAAATTTGGGAAAAGAATTTACGGTATTCATACGTCTGGTTTTTTAATGGACAATTTTTGTTCTTTGGGTAAGTTCAAGTCTTCCATGATCACATAAATTCCACTACTACTTTCTGCCTTTAATCCCCACCCCACTTCGCAAAATAGACATTATCCAGTTCCAAACTTTGGATTTTTCTGAACATGCCTGTTCCTGGTGGTCCCATTTTTCATTTCACTAACAGACAATGCCACTACAGTCCCACTGGCCTCTGCCTGTTTGCATTTCACTTTAGGAAACTGAGATCAGAGAGGTGCAAAGGAGAGCAGCAAAGACACAGGGGGAATATATTATCCTTCTCATTTTGTCCAGAAATTTTAATGTCCTGACACCAACTAAATGCAGTTAGTACAAATATACTGCCTGGTGGTACAGTACATTCAGAAAGTAAAATCCTACCCATCACAGCATCAGCTGCTTTCCTCCCACATCTGTCCCTGACCTTTTGCTCTTCCCAAGAGAGATATCCTTCTCAGGACTATCTTTTAACAAGATTAAGAAAATAACATTAATTAATTTCATGCTTAAGGGTTGAGTATTAAATGCAGCTGTAAAAGGAAATGAATGCAGCTTCAACTAAGCAACAGTAACACCCTTTCTCCTAATGTTTTAAATAAAAAGTCAAGATTTTTACTGGGCAAAGCTTCTTTCTGTGTAAAATCCACATTTTTAACTGTTCAGATAAAAAATGTCTGCAGTTCCATGAAACCTGAAAGCTCTCTGTGGTATTTCCATCTTCATTGCTCTTGTCCTAAAAGCATTCTTCCTGACATGGCTTATTGCTGGTGCCACCAAACACTCGCAGGCAAGAGGGCACAGTCTGGGCCTTCTTATGCCGAGATGTGAAAAATCAATTGAATCCCCATCAGATGGAATCACTGGTGCAGAAAGTGACTAAACACTGAAAGTTATTCTGTGATCCCAAAGTCTAGAAAGAGGGTACTGCAAGCAGTCTACAAGCTAAAATATAGGGTGCTGATATTTATAATAACTCTCTGCATGGTATTATTATTCTGGGCCTCTGCCCTTCTACAGGTGTGCTGCTACTCATGGCTCAATTAATTTTCTCTTCAAATATTTCAGTTCTTATCAGGTATATATAATATGATATGCTATGACACACACTGATATATCATATCACATCATGATAGTGAAACATACCGAATATTTCCATTCCATTACCATTGTGCATTAAAAACAGGGTAGACTGACAGCAGAGTCTACATACCATGATAGATAACATGATTTTTATTTCTGTTTCAAATTTGGGTGATTCTGCACTCAATGTCCTTATTTTACTAAACAAAAATCTAATTATTATATGCTGCATATAGTATCTATAATATATAATTTAGCCCTGATTATAAATAAATTCAACCTGACTCATCTTTCTTCACATTTTTTCTTCCTTTTTTTCCCCCCCTGTCATTTTCTGTATTTTCTTCTCATTTTCCCAGCGTCTTCTCTAGCCAAGTCTTTGTTTCTGTCTTACACTCCACATACTGCCTTAGATATCTGTGCTAGTATCCAGCTGAGCTGCAGGAAGGAGTTTTTTTTAGTGTACTCTCTGTTCATGTCAGTCCTATTATAACACACTCAGGATGATAAATTACACTTGAAAACTTCTAGTACAGATATAAAGAAGTCATATTATCAATTCCCAAATGAATGTTAATCATAACCCTTTAATCATAATGCTAATCATATACATATTTGGAAAAACCCAAGCATTTTATGGTTGAGCATAGGAATAGATGTCAAAAGACACATGTTGTTGTCTTGGCTTTTGCACAGTCTTGTGGTGTCAAGGTAACAATCTGATTTTGTTTTCTAGCTTGGTTTACTTGTCAAAATACATGAAAAATATTGGCCTTCTCGATTGGGTAATTCTTGATTCAGGTAATGCTTATAAAGGCTTTGAAAACACAGACTATGCCTGGCTAAAGAGGTGCAAATTATTATTAGCTGTCAGTAATGTTTTATAGAAAACACCATGGCTGAACACTCATCAGATTGGTAAATTAGTAGAAAGAAGAAAAATAAAGAAAAATAAAGAAAAATAAATAGAAATGGAGAAATTACAGGCTTGGAACAGCAAAAACAAAACCTAAGTGTGATGCAAAGAAATAAACTTTTGCATGAAATCACAATCTGCACAGCTACTCCTCACCTGAAATATGAAACCAGTGTAGACACACAGACTTGTCAAAATTAAACTCTCCAGCTTTATGTGTAAACTCTGTGCTTTAAGTACACTGATGCTAATGCCATGAGGTCAATTAACTTTGATCTATAATGACAAGAGCACTAGCTCCCTAATTTAGTGGTAGAAATAAACTTCCAGCAACCCTGAGCCCTCTCTGTGCTCTACGGTGTGCGCTCCTGATCAGAGCTGTAACCGAGCACACTCTAGCGGTCCCTGGCACACAGAAGTACGGGCAGGCAGAAAGGACGGCTCCACACATCCATCTGTGCAAAGTGACACAAAGCCTCAGCTGTGGGCAGCTCTCCCAGAGCTTCAGAACCCCTGCCCTAAACCCCTGGGTATTTGCAATTTCTACACTCTGTACCTTGCTTCTCACTGAGTTTATATAATTCTTTAAAAGGTGGCTGGGGTAATTTATGGGGAAAAAAATGCACTAGATTAGCCAGTTTGAGATCATAATTTATCTATAATGGCCTTTCTTTGACAAGAAGAAAACAAAAGAAAATTAAAGCTGATAGGGCTGTTCTAGTAATGTCAAAAGTTGGCATTCTTTATCACTCTTTAACTTAAAAGTCCTTGTCAGAATAATGATAAAGGCATCATAGAAATTTTGCTTTTCATCTGTCTGACATATAAATCAATGATCCAAAAAACAAATCATTATATATGTATTTTTTTTAAAGTGAATATAAAACAAGCCTACTTGTCTACATTCTTTATTCATCTCTGACAGAGTCAGTTATAGCATTTCTCTGAGCACTCACTCACAGCTGAAGCTGCTCCCCCCTCCCAGTTATAACACTGACCCCGTTTAGAGAGCACATCTCAAACAGAGGCACCAGAATCTGTAGCCTTTTCCAGGGTGTGAGCTGACATAATGGGCAGCTTTGCTTCCTCTGGGGAGCAAGCACTCTCTTTATCACTAGGACAAATGACCTGGAGGAGAGGTATCCAAGGCCAGCCACTCTATTTCCTTATAAATGCCAGATCAGATCATAACACATTACTGTGACTCGCTGTGTTAATGACCAGGCACTTCCATTTGCAGGGAAAGCACAAGGGTGAATCCAGCTGAATCCAAGCTCTGACTGTGTCAGGGTACGCTTTCCAAGCAGGAATCCTACTTTTAAAACTTCCCTTTTCCTTCCAGCACACATCTTTGAAATTCACAGTTACAAACAGACCAAAGCACTGAAAAATAACAACAACCAAACAAGCATTATCAATAAAAAAGGTTTACCTTACAGCACTTCTGACCTGCTAGAAGTAGCATAAATGATGAGTCTTTCACATCAGGGAAGACTGATTTTCAGCTCTCAAGGGGCTCCTCCAGGATCTTTCACTTTGGATTTTTCTTTACTTATTGAGTGCAGGTCCTTACTCCTCATAGTGAGCAAATTCCAGAAAACTGTACATCCTTTCACAGAAGTACAAGCTCCACCATTTCCCTCTATAATGCAAAAGTTGAGAAGCCTGTGAATTTATTAGAAAATAAAATAAGCAAAACAAAATTATTTTTCAGGCTTTAATTAATAAGAAACAGAAATAGAACTATTCCATATTTTGAAGGAGTAACAAATCACACCATACTATGGGAACAATTAAAGATAAATTAAGAAAGAGAAGAAGTAGAGAAGGAAAATAATGGTTAGATGACAGAACATGAGATAGACAAGAAGATAGAATAAAAAGTACAGGTTTAGAAACAATAAAAAGAGGGAAGTGTACAGTAATAAAAAAGAAATACTAGAAATAAAAATATTTATTTTCATGCATCTGTTAAGTTTAACATAAGTCTGGGGAAAAAAGGAAAATGTTAAATAACCACAGTGAGTCTAAAAACTTCCTGAAGTAAAAAAACCCCAACTAAACAACCAAAAAGCCCCCCAAACAAACTAGAAGAAATGTAGGAGATTAGAATGAAAGTGCATGGAGGGAAGGACAAATAAAAAAGTGTAAAAAGAGGACATAGGCCTTCTTTGCATTGTACCCCAATTCAGTCACCCTGCAGTCACAGAGAGCCATATTGTGGAACCCAAGATCAGAATTGCCCACCAAATATTCAGTTTATGTCAGGCCATGAACCACATAACAAGTATTTAAAGAAACAAAAGTGCTCACTGCAGCAAAATACAGCATCTGAGGCAGAGAGCAAAGTAGAATGTGTATCATAGGGCCCCACAAAAGAAGTGTTTTAGGTTTAAAATGCTCAGAAACTGTACTGCCATGTTTTACAGGAAAGTTAGGAAAACATTTTTTCCTGCTACCTTTACTGATACTGACTTGCCATCCAAAGATATATTAAAGCTGAGGATAGTGGAGACTTCAATTCAAGCTCCTTTGATAACACAACCCTTAGGATGCATCATTTCTCTCAGTGAAGGCATTCACAAAATTATAGGTATTCTCCCATATATTCAAACACATCCTTAGGGGTAAAAAAATGTGTTTTCAAATTAGGAGCATAAGCAGGAGTACTCATTTCTGTTCATGTCAGATAGCTTATATTCCCTTCCAGGTCTGAGAAATCTGTGAGAAATCTTTGAGCTCAACTCCTACACTGTTTTCAGAAACTTGACTGAACTATTCTAAAAACAGTATTCAAACTGAAATACTTATTGCAATGAAAAGCTGCTGGCAATGGACCACGCCAAGTGTCTGTCTCCTTCCTCTGCCAAGGATAGCAGGTCCCTGCTTACTGTGTTTTTATCTCTGTTTATCCTCTAAACTGATCTCAAAGTTGGCAGCACTTGGATGTCTGTGTCATAAGGGTTAAGAAGAGTTTTATATATATATATAGATGCACTCAGACATATACATAAATATATATATATATAGGCTTCTTGGTTCCACAAAGAATATGTTTCCCTTGCTATACAAAACCAACCATGTGCCTGGTTTTGAGCAACACAATTACTCTTCCCCAGAGCCATCAGGAAAGGGATTCAGTAACAACGTCTGAAGAGTACAGAATATAGATCAGTCCTTGTTAAGTTTATATTTGATATGAGTGTCATGTTAGAGAAAATGCACAAGCATAAACTCTCCTGACAGTAGATTGCCATTATTAGCTTTTCCCCAAGTAATTCCCTGACACCTGTTTTTCAGTACCTTCAATTACATTAAAGAGTAAGACAGAAGCACACAGGTCAGAGTAAAAGAAATATCTATAGTTTGGATCCTTCATCCCTGAAAACTCCCAAATAACTTATTCTTACTCTTGGTAAACTACCAAGTTTTGCTCATTTTGAAGGGTTTTGTTTCACTCTAAATTTCTGCATTGATTATGCTTTCATTGCTACCTCTGTATAATGATTATCATTCCCCATCTTACATGCTACATATGATTGAGAGTGATTCTGTGATTTATATGGGTAATAATATTTTGAAGTAATTTCTTAGCTTTAAACTTTTATTACATTTTTTTAAAAGATGTTTTTTAAAGAGGCAAGTGCCAGGCATGTGCCTGGTTATAACTTCAGAAACATTCATGTTGATAGCATTGACTAGAAATACATTAGCTAAACTGAAAAAAATATAGTAGTTAAATCAGGTTTTTTATCCAAGCAAAAATGCCAAAATTGCTAAGCTTGTTATATTCTAAATATCTGTTAATTAAGCCAGGTTTTTTAAAAAAAAGTCTTTTTGGAAGAGATATTTATGCAGAGCAGCTGTGGTAAATAGGTAAGTGCTGGAATTTCCAATCCTAGGGATGATTTGCTGATGCAAACCGAGTACAAATGGGTTGCAATCACATTTTTCCTCCTGGTTCTGTACATATTTGGAACAGGCAAAACTTCACACTGGCAATTTGCACATGTAAAGCTGCACATACACACACATTGCCCAGAGTGCATCATGACAGAAAATTAGACTTCCAAAGTTTCCTTTTCAGCAGTACCAGAGAGTGCCCTGCATTACATAGGCTGGAGACCCATGATACTCAGCTGTATGTAAAAAAGACAGTTTCTCAACTAATGAAACCATCTATCTTTTGTTCAGTCTACAGAACGACATAAAGGTGATCCTAGAATTAAACTTACATAAAGCAGGAGTCACGGTGGCTAAGCTGAGTGAGGCTAAGCATCCACATGAACCTATAGAAATGCATGTTTCATAGCTGTGGACAAAGATAATGGCATGCAAGGAACGCTGTTCCAGAAAACGATGTAGCCTTTCATCCTTAATAACCAAATAAAAAATGGGAAGTCAGTACTTGGGAGCTACTCCAGCAAGCAAATCTCCAGGAAACAAGGCTCCCCACAGACTCTTCCTTGATCTTAAAGCTTAACGTGAAACATTTATATGCACGTAGCACCTGGCCACAAGACGTGGGAAGGCACTTTTATCACACTGGCTGTATTTCTTCCTTAAATAATAGATTTCCTCTTTTTTTTTTTTTTTTTTTTTTTTTTTTTTTCCTCTCCTGGAAATGGAATACATCTTCAATAATGTTTCTGTACCCTTTTTTTAAAAAAGATTTTAAGAACCAAGCAATCTTGAAAAACATCACACAACTTTAAAAACTATTGACACCCCTCAAACCGAATTTCATCCAAGTTTTTAGAAGCAAAACTATGTAGTCAAAATAAAAAAAGCATTATTTAGATGAAGAAGTTTTATTTTTTGTTGTTTTTTTTTAAATGTGTTAATTGAATGCTAATCTCCCACCTGCATTTCTCTGACATCCAAGCACATGGATAAACTGTGCACAGACTAAACCCAGCTGAAACTACACAAAAGCCAGTTGAATTGTACACAGTATTTTCTCAAAGGCACTCCAGAGGAGTTAGGAGCAGCAGTCTTTGAGCCTTAAATTGCTGCTCCAAAACTAATGCCAGCTTTGCAATGACTGACTCACACATATTTTGAGCGTGAGCTAACATATCAAACCTTTAAAGCACATATATGTGCCCCTACATAATGCAGCTGTATGTTTGTCTTCAGACTACTCTTGTTTTTAGCTACATCCCTAATGCAGCATGCAACCAGTTTTGGGTGCAAACCTCCACAATAACATCATAGAGCAACCTCAGTGCCTCCACTGAAGCAAACAGGAAAACACATCTGGAATCAATGCTTATTTGCCTCTGATTATATGAACAATTCAAAACTTTCTTAACAAGTAAGAAATCCCAAACTCTATTATCCATTAAGACCAACGTCTGTTGAGAACACAGGCAGAGAAAACAAAGCCATTTTTGCTTGTGCAAAACAACTCTTCAAACTTTTCTCAAACAAAAAGGTTTCATTTTACTTCAGCTTGTCCATGTCCTGCATTTTGGCTGAGAGCAAACCAGAAAAAACCCAAAACAAAAAAGGAAACCCTACAAAAAGAACCCAAACCCAGAATACTCAAATGTGAGAATTATGGCATTTGGTCATTTGACTTCCTACTAGTGACCTCATTGCTACTGTGACACAAAGACATTATTCCATGGTTTAAATGTGAGAGAAAATAACATTTCAAGAAAAATGGTGGAAGTTTTTACCCTGATTACTTCTGTGGTCTGGGACATGCAGAGTTTTGACAAGAAATTTTAGCCTTAAACAGACCTTTGTAACTGCATCTCAGCTATTGTCCCTTTTGCAGTATTCCCAGGGACTTCAAAAATAAACATTAAAGAGACCACGACTACACAGAAGGAAAAACAGCTGTAGAGTCTGCACACAACTCAAGCAGTAACAAATGCAATGAGATCCAGAAAAAGCAAATGAGTAAATATTGGAAAACTTCACCATCATTTTCACTTCTCACTACATCAGAAATCTTTGCTGTAAAGCCTGAATTAGATTTGCATCGCATAAGATTAGAGTTTGAAACAAGGAAAAAGCAGCAACTCTTTCCCTCTGCAAGAGAAAAAGAACATGAAATAAATAAAACCATTTTGTGTTAGTACAGTTATTTTAACAGCACTCATTTCTCCAGACTATTTTTTTCTAGATTTGCATATGTATGGAAGAATAATAAACATTCCTCTTCTTTGCCTCCCCCTGCATAAGGTGCATTGTTTCCAGTTCACATTTTGGGACCTGAGGCATGGAAAATTCTCTGTGCGAGACACAAATACTGGGTTACATAGTCCTCCCTGTGAAGTGTTGCTGTGCTCCTAAAATTAATGTGTGGAGAAATGTAGATTCTCTGAATGAAGATCCAAAAACATCCCAGCATAAGAAACAGGAACCCCATTGCATTTTGTGGCAAATAAAGGCAAGTGAGCACACTCCTAACCCAGAGAGTGAGAGCTTGGCAACTAGAGTATTCTTCTGGGACACAAGACATATTTTGTCAAACCACACCCCAGCTTTCCTGGGCAAGTATCAGAACCCCTGAGCAGCTGAAGCAGCATTTTCTGCCCTCTCTCATGTATTTTGCAAAGCCCACTTAAAGAACAGAAAGCAGAGCACAGGAGCTGGGATGGGTAGAGGAACCCCAACTTCATGTGCAATGAAGATTCTTCTGCAGATCCACTGTTCTGTGGGGATGTAATACTCAGTGGGCAGCTGATCACAAATGGGGTCTCCAGGTGCTCTTTCAAAACAGAAATAATAGTACTAACTTAAAAACAGTCATCACCTTCTGTTGTCCATCTAATGTGCTGAGCCTGTTTAGAATTTGGATGCAAATTTTGTTGTTCTTACAAAGCCAGCAAACTTCTGTGCGTTTCTGATTTATTTGAAAGACGTTTCAGAGGATTTTTCAAAATGAAAGTTTCTGAACGAATTCATAAATTTAAGGGTAAAAAATAATTTTAACAGCTCAGATCCTGAACTGATAATGGTGTGTACTAATGCACTCAAAACTAATGAAATTGTTTCCAAATTAAGCATGGTACAGCTTTAAGAAAGATAAATTCTGGAAATTTGTTAGCCTGTCTGGGCATGATGCATAAAACTATAACAATCAGACTTCTTTAGATTAACTTACCTCACTCATCAATATCTAAATATTGTAAGGCTTTTCCAAGTAAAATACCCATGGTCTCATTGTTGAGATAAGTTGACATAAACTGAGAAACTTAGGTTTAACCAAATCACAATCCTTAACTTTCATGTATTTTTAGAGAATGCCCTCAGAGGCATTATTTGCTTTCTGCAGGTTTATAATGGAATGTCACTGTACTTAGGAGAGGATCAAATAAAATTCAACTTAATGAGAATAAAGTTTGCTCCTCACTTCTGCTTTGTATAAAAAAAGAAAACTGCATGACTACTCAAGTATCAGTAGAATTTTCATGTTTTATATTTTTAATGAACTGGAAGAAAACAGAAGAAAGTAGTGGGAAAAAGTCCTGCAACAAGAAATGTGACTGAAAGCACCACATAAATGCTATGACATCACCTATTTAATCTATTCATGACTATATTACATGCTGCCATCATGTCAGCTCCCAGAAAAACACCATCATATTGACAAAGGCAGTGATTCACACTGTTTCTCAGACAAGCCTGTGTGTTTATCCTCAGGCTTTCCAATCCTTATTTAAGGAACTATGATCATTTGAGTGTCAAAATTCAATTTATCAGCTCCAATATATATGAAGGGAATGAAATATAGAGGCTAGCAGCATGTGAGAGCTAAACAAGATGATCTGATTGTCCCCTCTGGCCTTAATGTGACACCTAGTACTGAAGGGAAGGAGCTGGAAGATGTGCTGTCCCCTTTCTGTCTCCTTTTCATATGACCAAGCTGATTTAACTACAGAATTTGAGACAGAATCTAAAACAATCTTTGACTATGCTCCCTTCTCACTCAAACAGCTCTGAAGGTGTCTTCAGTGAGAACTGCTTTTAGGAAAGAATACACTGAAGAATGGATGTAAAATTTAGCAGATCTGAAGATAAAATCTTAACTGCAGGCTGGAAAATAACTTGGTTTGCAGGGAAAGCCCTATTCAGGAAAATGTCCTATGATCCAAGACTTAGAAATGGACCCTGTTACGCAAGATGGGGAGTGAGAAACTGGTACTGGAGCTGGTGGAAACAAAATGAAAACGGCAAGCAGAGGGACAAGTGTGCTACTAGCTGAGTTAAGAGCCTGACATCAGGAGTAATCAGGAGGTAACAGGAAATTTGTAGGTTTGAGAGGGATATCAGCTAATCTAATATTAATGCTGGAGGGTGCTGGGCTCAGGAGATAGCAACCCGGGGAGAGCTGAGCCAAAAGTGAGCCAGGAACCTGGAGAGAGCACTGAAGTAGCTACAGGTGATAAAGAGAAACGAGAGGAAGGATTCAGGGGAGAATACAGTGACAAAATACAGTTGCAGGCAAGAGGCTGAGATGCAAGGCTGAAACAGGGAAAGGAAGAGTAGTCAAACAGAAAGGTTCAGTCTTTGAGGATCCAGTCAACCAGCCAAGACTTCCTTCCCAGATATTTGGATGGAAAATTTCTCCACACCTGGCAAGAGGTTAGGGCATCCACAGGATGCACACTCTTCCTTTCTACTGACAGGCAGCATAAAAAATAACTCCCAGCTACTGCTGCCAGTGACACTGTTAGCTCAAGAAGCAGATGGCTGTCAGATGCATCCAGAGATTGCCATCTTGCTGATGATCACTGTGGGGGGTGTTATGATTCCACAAAATCCAGTTCAATGTTCTCATGTTGCTTTTCTAAAAACCTAGGGAATTACATGAAGTATTAAAAACAATATTATGCTTGCAAGTAAAGAAAATATTAAGATAAGCAGTATCAAGATTAGAAAATGCCTGTTCTTTTTTTAATGTGCTCTCTTCTGTGCATGCTCCATGTGATGCACATTGCTCCACAGGGATAACAAATGCTACTGTCCTTATAATTTTTTCTCCTTCCTTTTTCTGCTGTTTTTGCTGTTGTTGCAGAAGATAGGTGGAAAATCAGGAGATCACTATAGCAAAAATAAAAAGTATATTCTTAGGGTCAAGATGGCTGAGTGCCTCCTAAAAAATGAGATTGCATGTCTGCTTCTGTATATAACACAAGGCAGAACTAAGCAGAAACCTTGACTAACATGAAAACCACAAACATTCTTACACATCCCAAGTGAAAAATCTGTCCAGATGTCTCACTATGATCACCAGTTGCCCAGTAACATGGCTTGATTTTGTTTGGATATTGTGAAGTATTACAGAAGTGTCCACAAGAAATTACTAATTCAGTCAGCATCACAGAATATGAATCTCATATTTAATATATTTCAACAAAGATAAAACAAACCAGCATGAGTGCTGGTGAGGTAAAGACCATCCCTGATGAAGATAAAAACACACTGACATGGCAAAAATAAACAGTGTGTGTTTGCATACACAGACACTAAAATTACAAACAATTACAGACACTGTAATTTCTATTTCTGTAGAAAGGGGAAAACATGGGGTGCATGGACAACGTTAAATTCAACAAGTGTGCTAGATTTTTCAGCTTTGATAATGCTTTGTTAATCCAGATTTTTGACTGCAACATGTTCTAAACTCATCTACATAGTATTCAGCATTCATAGGAGAGACGGAGGCTCAAAATTTGTATCAACATGTAACCCATTTGTCCTGCTTATGGCAGGGGGTGTGAATTAGGTCATCTTTAAAAATTTCTTCCAGCCCAAACCTACAATTCTGTGCCATTTGGGAACTGTAACCTGAGGTGTTACTTTAGAACAAATGGCAGCACAAAGTTCTGTCAAAGATAAATTTAATTATGTGACATTGACTAATTTTCTGGCACTGAGACAATCATAATTTGCTCCAGTAACAACAGAATCAAGCAAGTCCACTATTTCCACTTGTGTTTTTCAGGCATATTACTCAGTGGAACTCAGTGGAAGACATGGATTTTGGATGTTTTATCCATAGGAAGAAGCACACCCTCCAAACCATTACAATTCTAGATAAAACCAACTAAATCTGCACTTCTGGGAAAACTAACCCCCACACAGGTGCTTGTGTCAGACATGCCTGGAGCCTTCTCTCCTCGGGTGTGTTCTGTGGCCAGCAGGACCAGGGCCGTGATCATCCCTTGTGCTTGGAACAGGTGAGGCTGCACCTCAAATGCTGCCTTCACTTCTGGGCCCCTCGGTACAGGGAGGACACTGAGGTGCTGGAGTGAGTCCAGAGAAGGGCGACTGAGCTGGGGAAGGGGCTGGAGAGTAAATCCTGTGAAGGGTGGCTGAGGGAGCCGGGGGTGTTCAGCCTGGAGAAAAGGAGGCTCAGAAGACCTTCCTGCTCTCTGCAGCTCCCTGAAGCGAGGCTGTAGCCAGGAGGCAGCAGCTCTCTTCTCCGAGATAACAAGATGAGGAAATGGCCTCAAGAGGCACCCGGGGAGGTTTAAGTTTGGGTATTTGGAAAAAATATCCTTCACGGAAGGGGTCAGGCATTGGGACAGGCTGCCCAGGGCAGTGCTTGGGTCACCACCGCTGAAGGTATTTAAAAGACATGTAGATGCGGCACCTGGGGACACGGTTCAGTGATAGACCTGGCTGTGCTGGGTGAACAGTTGGACTCGGTGGTCTCACAGGTCCTTTCCCAGCCCTGAAGACCCTGTGATTCCATGGAATATCCCGCTCCTAGGAAATTCGCTGTTGTGAGGGCCGATAATCCGGCGAAGAGCAATGGCGACATCTAGCGGCGGGACAGGGCGCCTCACAGGCCGGGCCCGCCGCGGGAAGCGGCGATCCAGGGAGATCCATCCGTGTCCCGGGGAGATCCATCCGTGTGCCGGGGAGATCCATCCGTGTGCCGGGGAGATCTGTGTGCCAGGAAGATCTGCGTCTCCCCAAGGACATCTGTGTCCCCAAGGAGATCCGTGTCTCCCCAAGGAGATCTGTGTCTCCCCGGGAACAGCGCCGTGCCTCACGGGCCTGCACGGACAGCAGGGATGTCACAGAGTCAGAGGCACAGAATGGGTTGCTGGGTCTGAAAATACTTTTGAAGCTCATCCAGTTCAGCCTCCTTCAATGAGGAGGGACATCCTCAATTAGATCAGGTTGCTCAGAGCCCCGTCCCGACTGGCCTTGAGTATTTTCAGGGCTGGGGCATCTATTGCCTCTCATGGCAAAATGTTACAAAATTTCATCACCCCTGCTCTTCATATCTAGTTTAAATCGATCCTCCTTCAATTCACAAGTATTGTCCCCCGTCCTACCCCAGCGGGCCCTGCTAAACAGTGCATCCCGAGCTCTCTTGTAGATCCTTTAGGTATTGTAGGTGCTATAAAGTCTTCCTGGAGCCTTCTCTATGCTGAGCATCCCCAGCTCTCTCAGCTGTCTTCATGGGAAATGTGCTCCAGTCCTCTTATCATCCTCATGGTCTCCTCTGCACCCATTCTAACAGGTCCATGTCCTTCCTGTGCTGAGGACCTCAGAGCTGGGTGCATCACCACAGGTAGGGTCTCACCAGAGCACAGGGGCAGAATTACCTCCCTTGACCTGCTGGCCATGTTGCTTTTTGGTCTCGGTTTTGGTTTTTTTGTTTGTTTTTTTTTTTTTCTCTATGTTACAGTTGGCTTTCTGGGCTGCGGTTCATGTTCCTGGCTCATGTCCAGCTTCTCATCCACCAGCATCCCCAAGCCCTTTTCTGCAGGGATGCTCTCAATCCCTTCCTCCCCCAGCCGGTATAAATACCAGGGGTTGTCCCAACTCAGGTGCAGAAGCTTGCACTTGACCTTGTTGAACCTCATGGTTCTCATGGGTTCTCTTCTTGAGCTTGCCCTCTGGATAACATCTCATCCTTCAGGCATTTCAAAGTAATAGATAATAAATAGAGTAAATAGACGCCAATTTAACATGAAAAACTCTAAAAAGGCTTCAGTCAGGATCTATTCAGTCAGGATAGTTGCTTTTTCAGAAATAAGAAAAAAAAAAAGAAAAAAGAAAAAAAATCCTCAGTACACCTTGCATGTCAAACAAATAAACAGACAAACAAAATATAAATACATAAATAAATATCAAGAACCACTTACTGAAGAGACTATGAGTTTATCTCTGGGCACATTGGCAAAATTTATTTTTCCACCTTTCTATATTAGAAAGTGGAATCATTTTTGCTGCTTCTGGAAAGCTTCATTCAGCCTAATAGTGACACTCACTGGGAAAACATGCCATGGAAATGCCAAGGCCAAATGATTTAAAGCTGGCACATAATAATCAGCTGAAACAAGAGCCTTACAAATAGGAGTGCTGAGCAAACACAGGCAAAATGTGCTCACTTTTTGTTCCAGTCCAGAATTTATACAGGCTACACAAGGAGATCAAATTAAATATGAACTATTTTTTAGCCCAGGTGTTTTATTACACCCATGTAAATCGACCCAAAAATTCTAAAAAGGAATTAAATTTCAGTTCTGGAACTGTTCTTGAAAAATAGGAAATGTGAAGTACATGACAAAAAACCTTTTGAGGATTCATTCAATATAATGCCTCTATGAGCACATGGGATCAATTCCTCTGGAACTGTGACACAAGAAGTTTTTTTAGTCAAAACTAAGCTTCTGTGAGCCCTGTGTTTATTTGTCATCAACACAGCCAGTAAGGTTTCTGTTTCTTTTTGGTTTTGTATCAGAACAAAAGTTAGGAAGCTTATCCTGTCACAGGCTTCAGCAAAAGGCAAATAGAACTGTGATGGTTTAAGCCATAGCCATACATCTCTACCAGCCCCAACTTGCTTTCTAAACCTACTATTCCCAAATCTGATATACAAGCAGGGAATACACATTTTCTCATTACTGTTTAAAGCTAAAATGCTTCACATTACAATAGCTGAGACTCCAAGCACTTCCTTGGCTCAGCTTAAAGGCAGAAACAGCAAAGACACAGTGGAGATGTGCAGATTGAGGAGACAGTTTAAGGTACCACATCAAGATTCACCAAAAGTTGTCTGTTAAATCTCCAAATAAATAAAAACTCAGTGAAATTTTTACAGACATGCACCTGACTTACTATATCCTAGAAGGTGGCAGTGAGGGGGTTTAGGCTTAGCATGTATATCACAGCAAATAGTAGTTTTCTGGCTACACAACTGCTTTTCTTGAGAAGAGTACATATATCCTTAATGTGCTGCCAAAAACTCCTGCACTCAAGGAGGCCCACATGAAGCATTTACAAATACTTGCTGGGTCCCCCTGACTGAAATTATTCTTGTTTGATTCAAGTAGCAGATTTCTTATACACAGCATACAGGGGGAGCCTTCTTACACACACATCACATATCTATGCAGATGTGGAGACAGAAGCTGTGAAAACCATAAAAAACCATGAAAATCAGAGATGATCACAACAGCAAAACCTTTCCTTTCTCCACTAAAAACTAATAATAACACTACAGCACATGCTGGGTAGCAGCAGTTTGCCCACGTGCCAGAAGAAAGAAAATAAAATAAAACTTAAATTAAAAAAAAATAAAAATTAAAAAATATCTAAAGAGTTACACAAGCCAAGCCCTTTGAGAGAAAAAGCAGCCCTCTGAATAACCAAACATTGGGTCCTGGCATTAGTTTTTAGAGCTGTTATTCTTTTCCTATATGACTGCAGCAGCTCTGAATATCTATTTATCCTTCTGAGGCCTGTGGAAGAATCTATTTATAGTTGTGGGATACCAGTGCTAGTGCATCATGACATTGGCTTCTTTTACTGGAAATGATCCTGGCCGATTTACAGGCAACATGATGAGTGACTGACACATCCTATCAGAACAAGAAGTACAATTCTAGAGAGGAACTACAATAAAGGAAAGAGAAGCCTTGAGATACATGGAAAGGTACTCAAAACAAAAAAGATAGAAAGTCTCCTTTTGAATTCAATTGCCCCCATTTACAGACAAGTAAATGGAGTAAAGAAGAAGGCAAAGTATCATTTCTGTTACATGAGTTTTGGATGTTCTAATCAAGACAACAAAGGTTGTAATTCATCATAGATGAAAAGCATCTATAACTACAGAAACAAAAGCCAAGGGTACCAGCCCTGATATGCACTTAAAAAAACCTGTTCATCTTACTCTGTCTGCATCACCATAAAACTGCTAGAATAAAACTACTAGAACTGATTTTGCTGGAAGTTATTCTCTTCTGCAACCCATCATGACAGTATCTTCACTGAACCAGAAAAAAAAAAGCCCAACTGAGATATCAGCTGACACATTTTTGCATCTTCCACCACTTTCTCTTTTCCATTCCCTTGAGTGCTGTATCAGTCAACACTTCACAACATCCACATTCCCTTATCAACAATCAGACATTAGTGCTCATGGCACTCCCCTGCCAATGGATAGGCAAGTTTGACACATGACTTATTTATTTTGGAGATTTGAGAAACTGTGATTCTTGGCTCTTGACATTTCTAAGTTTGGGAATGGCTTTATTTATCACCAACTCTGAATTAAGGCTGTAAAACTGCTATGAAAACACATAGATGGCCCTTAAAGGAGAGCTCTGAAACACTGCAAGTGAAATGGTTAAAACACGATGTCTGGTTATTAATAAAAGGAACAGAGCTGCATGCTAAGGGGTAAAGCCACAGCAGTACTGATATCACTGGACTGTTTGCCATGCTGTAGGATAACAGGACTATTTATATGCACTGGTACACAGACCAGGCACTCTGTACTAAGCACAGGTGAGGATAAGAATACACAGCTGTGAGCTGTCTTTCCCCCTAGAAATTACATTCTCAAGTGACACAAATAAACCATTTTCAAGGTGTTTTTCTAGAGCTTAAGGGAAATCTACAGCATTCCCACAGCTGTAAATGTTTGTGGGTGTTCAAATGTCAGCCAGTGGGAAAGCTGCTTTGCACAGTGTCAGCAGGAAACTCCTATTAGGCTTTCCAAAGGGCATCCCCACATCACGGCCACTGCATGGAGAAAGAAGGGTATTCCTTCATGTATGGCATTGCCTGCTAACTCATCTCAATATCATTTATCTAGCACTTGGAACTGCTTATTTCAGAGGAAGCTACAATTTCACATAGTAGAAATTAGTGATTTGCTTTACCAGGGGCCATTGTTACACAACAAAGCAGTCTGTTGCTTGGACAGGGAAGAGCATCACTATAAATATCAGCTCCTTACAGTTATTTATCTTCTTAGTAGTGGCTGATATCTGGAGTGTCAGATCAAAGAACAAATGTGGTAACTGTGCCCTATACTGTAAAATCAATAAGTCAACAACTCTCTTTGGATCTTTTATTCTAAGGCAAAGTCTGTATTGTCTGTACTCTTGTCTACAGTAGAAGATATTTAATGGTGAAGTTCATACTGCAGGAGTCAACAGCAGTCTGGAAAGTGCTTTGCCTCAGTTTGAACGTGACATGTTCATAGAAGAGTCATTTCTCTGAGGAAAACTGAAAGAACTGGTTAAGTCAAGGTAGACAGCCCTAAAGATGGTGCTGGTGCATTTTGCAGCCACAACATTTAGGTTATACTCTACCATTACATAGGAGATTCAGGACTTTTCAGGCTAAAGAGGAAATCTTGAAGCTTCAGTAAATCATTAAACAATACATTAAATTGTAGGGAATGAGTTATACATTCTGTTCTGGCATGATTACTTTGAGTTTGTTTGGGTTCTTCAGTCTTCTTGCATTGTTGTTCAAGGTGTCAAATTAGCATCAATAATAAGAAAACTCTTGCTTCAGTGTCTCTGCCCCCCACAGGTGAATGGGATACCCATTACATTAGAAGAAGAGCTGTACCTTTGTTTCCCTTCTGAATTTTGATCAGATGTGCACTTGGCCTGAAAGGTGCGATTGCAGCAGATGCACATCCACATCGCCAGAAGATCAGTCAGAAAACATTTCTCATTTCTCCATTAATAGCTCATTTCTCCATTAATTTTGCCTTCCAAAATCTGCTAGCAAGAGACTGTTTTCACACAGGTATGGAAACATCTTTCCATAAAAGGAAGAGTTTTAGAAAGATTGAATGTTTCAGGACGTAGCAGTAGGATTCAGAAGAGCTGATGCTATCCTGAAAGATCAGCACCCCACTGAGATGAATCTTTGGTCAGGTTTTGGGGCTAGATACTTGCTTTCTAGGCACTAAAGACACCACTTTGCAGGTCAAATACTGGACACTTCCTGTATTAAATTAATTAAATTAAAGAGTTTCCTCAGGATAGCCCTGCACAGCACCACATGCTTCTTCCACATACTGAACCCATACAGTTCCACATACAGTGGGAGACAATGTCCCTATTAGTGTATAACCTACACAGACACTACAGGGCAGACAGAATCCACTCTCAGCTCAGGGACTGAGCTACTGAGCTCCAGCAGATCCCAATTCCCAATGGGTACGGCTCCCCAGCACGTCTGTGGGGTAAGAGAAACCTTTCTGAAGGCTCTCCTCTTTGCCCAGCTCCAAGCCACATTTCCTACATAAGACCCATGACAACCCACCAGTGCTCTGCAGGCACCATAACTTCAGCCAAAAATATTTTTGGCTCTCCACATGGTGCCCCTTGAGGAACTCAGGTCAATGGAACTCAGAAAGACCTGGAAGGTCTTGGGAAGGTCTTGGAAGGAAGGCATTGGGAATTATATTGAACAGCAGATTGGGACATTTCAGTGCTTGTGGTCCTTGAAGGCAGCACACTTTGCACTTTCCTAAACTGCCCTGGAGGCTGACAATTACCCTTTTCAGTACAAGATTAAGATACAGGGCTCTTTGTGGGGTAGCCTCAATATTCTCTCTGTTCCAGTCATAATCCTCACTCACACTTCTTAATCCAAATCCAGCCCATGCAAAGCAGAGTCTAACCAAACAACCTTAAAGGTGATATTTTGAATGTTTTCACATGTACTTGTCTGTCCTGGTGAAAAACTTCTAAGAACACTGATTTTCTTTCATCCAGTTTAATTAGGCCCATTTTACAGGGATTATTTTTGCTTTCCATTTTTGTCTGTTGTATTTCTGATTGCTCACAGTTTAACTAAATCTTGTCTAAAGTAATGATGTAACTAATCATAACTAAACAGATAAATTTAAAATGCACTACTACTTGTAACTGATATGATGCTTTTCTACTTATAAAGAAACAAACCAGATTTTCAGTATCATCTCAGTTTCTGAGGAGTCACAGCAGCATATTTTTCCCCAAAATGACCCAGAGAACACTCAAAACATCTGTCCTCAACAGTTTTAAACTGTCCTCTGGCATTAGTTTGGCTTTCTCTACATGTTATTCTTTTTTTAACTCAGAACAACTTTTTCCAGTCATCCAGAGGAATCTCCAGTAAAAACAGACAAGTCATGAGTTGATGTTCTTGATATTTTTAAGGTTAAATAAGCATTTTTATTTTGAGTAAATCAACAAAAGTTCCTACAGATTGCAGTGGAAACTACTGATTGAAATGAAACTTTGTCTCACATGCTTTATGAGGCTGTGTGTACATCTCAGTAAAGAGGAAAAGAAGGGCATAAGCCTTATTTTTCTTTAAAGTACAGAAATAGTTTAATTCTAGCTATGCATCCAATAATACTCCCTTCTGCATCACAGTTTATTCTAGGATTTACACCCTCATGTAAAAAGATCCCACACTTTCATGGATGTACATGAGAGTGAAAGTTTTTAAAACATCAACATGGGAACAGCTCCAGTGCCAGTGAACATGGACATTGCCAAGGAAGGGCTCAAGTATGGAAAGGAAATGGTCAACAGTAGCTTAATGGATTACCACGTGGTCAAGGGAATTGAATCAAGCAATAAATCCTTCCCCAGCTGGGCTGACCTGCTCTTGAAGTGAGACAGGTCTAATGTTGTCTACAGCAAGAATTAATTTTTTGCTCCACTGTTCCTTCTTCCAGCTGCCTAACCAATTAGGGCCACAGATAATATACATTCAAAAATAATTTTACTTGAAGAATAACAGACTTGCATTGGGCTGTTGTTTCTGACTTCTGTTGGTCTTAAGTCAGCTCCAAATACACAAGAGAAATCTGAAGCAAGAATTCCTGGAAATGGAAACATGAATTTCCCCCCAGTGAGCCTGAGAATTTAAAGAGAAATAAAGGGTAGTCTAATGAAAAATACTGTTTCTTTTACTATTCTTCCCACAATTAGGAGGAACTCAACAGCTGCAACCATTTACCATTAGCAAAAAAATGCCCTTTTTGAAGGCAAATTTATTATTTTTTTAAAAGTGTTGCTTAATCCCTCTCCAATAAATTTGCAGAGATCATGTGTTAATATGGGACCACGGATTTCATATGTTGCACAGATTAACTGTAGGCAAGGAATTTTTATTCCCCTAGCAGCAAGCTGCTTGCAGTAATATTGTCAATGAACACACTGGATTTCCAGTGTGTATTAACCCTAGATATATTTTACGCTTTCTTTTAGGACTACTGTTTTTATATGTGGCAGCAGAATGTTTCTGCACAAGTAAGTTTTTGATAAGTGATCTGAAAAGCCCATTTCATCCATCCTACCAAGATAAGCCTAATGAAGGAGATTAAATTAATTTGTTTATCCTAATAAACCAAACTTGTATGACAGGACATAACTTCTAGTAAATTCTAGGAACAGATAAGAACTATACATGCTAAAGGAATAGGGTGGCACAAGGACAGAGACAAGTTATCCAAAAAAAGATGCAAAGCTGGAAATTGTTAAAAAAAAAAAGCTTGTAATAATGAAAACAAAGACGAACTGAAGCAAAAATCCCTAACCACTTTAAGGGAAAAACCTGGGAGGGGATAATGGAAAAAAGCAATGAAAGCAGATGAAGAATACATGAAAGCCAGGGAAGGCTAAGACAATTTTCTGTGGATATTTTTCAATTCTCCAAAAGGAGCATGAAGGCAGGACAAAACAGCCAAGATCAAATGACAGCTGAAGGACTGGTGTCAAAGGTAAGCTTGGGGATGTTCCAAAACTGGAAATAGCTCATGAAGAGGAGGAACTACCTTTGAAGGACAGCCTTTCTCAGAATTCTTTGAAAAAGTAACCAAACCACCTTGTTGGATCAAATCTAGCTCAACCAGTGAGAGAAAAAATTGACAGGAGAAATATATCATATAAATAACACAGCCTCTGACTGTCTAGTCCTGTTTCACAGAACTGGAGTAAATGTGACCACTAACCATCCAATATCTTTTACAAGCCACAAGAATCTGTCAAGTTACCTTCGTGTTTTCACCCTGAGCCATTTTCAGTTTATGGAAACACTTCTTGGAGTTTGGCTTCTAGCACATTACACAGTGTTCCAATAGTGGTTGAACTAGCACCAAACACAGTAATGTTTATCACTTTATTCTTACAAGAATTTCTACTGCTTATTATGCACATTTGTTCTAAGTCCTCCTGGAACTTTAGTAAAGCTGATTGAGGAAGGCCTGGGGATGTATGATACATAAAATTACTGCTTCTGAGGAGAAATTTCACACAGAAATTCAGCCAACAATCTTAACTCCTAAATATCTGTCTTGTTGTATGAAATATCTTTTGGTTGCTCAGACCAAGGCAACCCCAATCATTTCCTGTTCCCATTTCTGGATCCATTTCCATCTGTTTTCTTACTTATAAGTTCCCATTATTTTACTTGTTATCTTTTAGTTGCTTTAAAATATTAAATAATTAAGGAACAAGAATAAGCTCCTACAGGGCCCTCTAGAAGGACTCCTGACTGATGGGGGTTTTTTTCTCTACAAAGATGACAGGGAGGTGTATTTAAAGAAGGTTATCATCTTTTAAAATTATTTTTCCTTTCTAAGAAGAAACCTGCTAGATTTTCTTTGTTTGTTTGACAGAAAACAGACCATGAACAGATTTACTGACTTAACTGGACTAGCCACAAGGTTGGAATTATGTATGTGCTTCAGTATCGTGCCAGGTGAGTAAAAGAAGTGTTAATATCCTGAAGAATTTAACACTCTACTAAAAGTTCAACTGAAAGGGGTTGTTTTAACTACAACTAGCTTGCACACACATGCCTTTAGCTGCCAACAGACCTTTGCCAAAAAATTCAGGGTCCTGAATTGGTTTGTGTGTTTTGAGTCCCCTCTACTCTGAAGAAAAAAACAGGTTCAGGCTAATTTTTCTGTCATATAGTTTACTTATTTTCCAAAATAAATAGCTTTAATTACCGAAATCTTACAAGATTTTCCATACAACTCAATTCTGACCTAACTGACATTGGTTATAGGCCTTACTTTTGCTCTCTGAGGCCTCTCTTCAGTGGTCTAATCCTGGGGTTAGGAGCTGAAATTCCTTCGCTGGCATACATGGCTGCCAGCTGGCAGGCTGTCATACCTATTTTCATGGCATGTGTCTTCTTAGATTGCTCTACTCTGTTGTTGAAAGTACTTTTTGATCTATTTCCCATGTTTACTTGTTTGGAAAAGGGCCATGACCCTTCCTGAAGGGCCAAAGATGGAAGTTAAGAGGAGACTGTAAAACTCTGGGAACAGCTGAAAATCCCACCTGGAAAATCTTTGAATAATGATCCTGTATCTTAGCAAAGACAGGATAACAATCTTCAACAGCAGACAAGCTGCTGCAAGGAATAAAATTATTAATTTGTTGACTGTGCCTATGGCAGACAGGAAAGAAATAGTGAACTTACACAGGCATATAGGAAAAAAAAAAATCACCTTTTTAATGGCATGATTAGTGAAGGCCTGGAAAAGATTACCTAAAAAGTCATAAAATTTCTGGCATAAAAAGCCTTCCAGAAACGATGAGGGAAGTGTTTTCAGGAATGCCACAGCACAGCCTGCCTTGTCTGTGATCTCATGAGGTCTACTTTTAGTCTATTTTTCAGCAAATATCTTCTTTTTTTGCTCTGTCTTTAAGCAAATGAAGTCTTAATAAAATTGTCTGCCTGCCCAAGCACCGACTGAGGCTTGAGTAAAAATTCACACAACTTGCAATTCAACAAAGTTTCAGTAAAATGTTTAAGTATGTTCCTAGAGTTAAACACACATCTTTGAATGAGACTGATGACTAAGCACGAATTGACTTAGGCATGTGTTTTTTATAAGGTGAGTTTGCAAAATCTCTTGTGGAAGCAAAACTCAAACACTAAAACTTCAAGAAATCCCAACAAACAGTGAAGAGTATTTCTAATTTCTTACAGTCTCTGCCTCCACATTTGGAGAGGAAATGAAAGCTGTAACAGTAAAGGAAATTATAGTTTTTCCTTCATCCCTCCTACACATGCATTAAAAAGAAGGGTTGTGTGGGAGGAACATCAACATCTTATCCCATTTACATTCCCTTTGCTCCATTTTCTCCATCCAAAAATCAGAGTTCAAATGAAACATGAGCAGCTTTAGTCCAAAAGCAGGAAATCTCAAAAAGTGTCAGAGATTGTAATGGGAATGAGGACAAAGGCCTTCCAGAGTGCATCAGCTACATTAACATCCACAAATTAATTACCTTACCTGCCCTGAACTTTAACTATGAACATATGTTAAATCCCTGGTGATCAAAAACCGGTGACACCATGTAAACTGGTTGTGTCCTTTGTGCACATCTATCAGGAGTTTTAATCCATACCACTGAAACCAGGAAACTGCCCTAAATCAGTTTTGTCACTACCTGAGTTTGAAGTTGAGACACTCCAGTATTTGTTTACAGACAAAACATTTAATCTAACTGCAAGCCCTATGTAAAAGTGTCTGATTCAGCACATATTTGACAACACTTCTAATGTATGAATACAGTTTTCATACACTTAGTATTTTCCTGTGATGCTGTTGGGTGTCAGAATTATTCCCTGCAATCACAACAGATACAGAACTTATCCATGGAAAAAAACAAAACAAAAAAACCCAAAAAACCTAGGGTTGCAGTCCACAAAAAAAGTTAAAATGTGCATAGAACTTTGATGTTGCTATGACCACCATAACAACTTACTATAAAAACAATACACTTTATTAAGCCTATCTTCAGCTATTTGCTGTGAAGCTGAATAATTATTGTACAGTATAAAACAAATATTTGTTCATAAGAGTTATTGTTTTAAATGTCAAAATTAATTTCTTTTCCCTTTTTACAATAATTCTTCCAAGTTCTTTTTAAAACAAAGTGTTCATTTTGGACTATGATAGTTAAAGTAGAAGTCTAAAACTTAGCTTTCTAGCCTTTGGGCAAAATATAAAACTGTTGTTAAATTGAAGTGAACCAGAAAATGTATAGTGAAACTCATCTGTAGAAACTTTTGCTAATAAAAAATATTTGTCCAGTGACACAGATTCTAAGTAGAAACATGTGACAAGGTGTGTCTTGCAGTGTTGCAGCAGCAGGATTCAGAAATGTTTTGCTGAGTGAGTCTGAAGACCAGATATTTGTGGTAATATTGTAGCCATGTAGATGTTACACCATCAAATACCACACTCCACTATATATATATATATATATTAACAGCATCATTTCAATGTCATGAATAAAATTCAAAGTTTTGTAAGCTTCTAATGTTCATTAAATTGTTTTTGTTTTTTTCTCGAATGTTCATACCATTTGCTTTATTATGCTGGCTGTTTTAACACAAACTGGCCAAATTGGTTTTGAAACTGTCTGGCAGTGTAACTAAATACCTTTTGCTGGTGCTGCAGGAACAAATCTGACAATTTTATTCCCAGTTACAATAAGTCTGAGCTTAGAATAAAACTGAAGTCATCATATGAATCAAACATTTATGGAGGTACTTCCATTTCCAAGCAGAATACTCTCATCCCTTCTCTCTTTGTTCTTTACTACGTGCCGCAGTGTTACAACTTTGTATTCCTTGGGCAAGATAAAAAGGAATGTGTCCATTATATTAATGTTAGCTTATGTTCAACCCTATCTCAAATATTAACCTGAAATGCAAACTAAACAAACTTTTTTGAAGTTCAAAAAGGTAACAAATTCTTCTTGATCTTAGTAAGACACAAAGTTCTTATCTGGAAAAGGTGATGCATTTCTAATTAAAGAGAGATTGATAGAGATTTCCAGAGAACAGAGAATCAAACCATTTATAAAATAACCATATAAAAAGTAAAGCCAGGATAGGGATGCCACTAAATGTGAGGTAAGGCTCACTACTAAATGTGATCCAAGGCTATGTATTTATTAAGTATGCTGGACTAATTTTGTGTGTCATGGAAATATAAGGAGATGGCAAGTTCTCTTCATGTAAGCAGTCAAATATCTTCTACAACAGGAAAAAATAGCAGCAGTTTTAAGCTTGCTGTTATTTATGCTACTGCACACATGAGTCTGAGGTGTCACTGCAGCTTGGGTAACTTGATGAACACCCACTTCTCATATCTTGAATTGTATTAGGTAAATTAATTCCACAGATATCAAAACAGTCATCTGATGATGAGATTTTGAGCAGTCTTCATCATCCCTGGTTGCCCTCAAGCACTGAGTATGGCATAAACTCTTTTTCTAGTTTATAAATTAATCAGCTAAAATAGAACTTCAGTGGTCTAAAGACATCACAGTGAGTAAAAGGATATTATCTTAGATCTGGAAACTCTTGCATAGGTTGCAAAGATCTTTGTGGATGGTGCCTGAGCCCACATAGGACTGGGTACTCTGAAAGTGCTTACTCCCGAGTTTGCCAGCATTTCTTCAACAAACCAAAAAAATCCCAAACACTCCCACCAAAAGAAAACCCAAGCAAATAAAACCAAAACCAAAATAAAACCAGAAGCATACACACACAAATGGTTATAAGACCACCAATTGTATTCTTAGCTGATCCCCACTTGAATTCATCAGTAGTCACAATTTTTCAAAATGAAGTATTTTTCTTAGAGACATGATTTCTTCTAGGCTCCCAAGTAGAAAATTGGGCATTAGAAATCAGGACTTTTTTTACAGGGAGAAGCTTTTGCTTCAATTTTTTTCAAGATGATTTGTGCAGTTGAGTTTCAAGGAACATTGGTGTTCAGTTAGCAAATTAATTTTTCTCCTTTTTCCAGCCCACAGTTTCAACAGAAACAACAGACAGCCTGTTCCACCTAGTACCAAGTGCAACCATGCCTTCTGAAAGGGTTTGATGTCAAACAACGTATTCATGATTACTGTTCATCTTTGTCCAAGATGTGGCAGTCAGCTCACATCCAACACTTAAGAGCATCATGACAAATAGCTGTTTCTTGAAGTGTTTACTCAACACGGTTGAAAGGCTTTTTTCAGCCCTGGCTCAATGGGATTTCAGCCTTGAGCCAGAAACACTGTGATCTTTGGGGGCTTACAAAGCATGAGTGGCCTTACAAAATCTAGGCAGTTTGCCAAAGGCTCTTTTTTTTTTTTTAAACTTTGTTGAACCGTGGTGGAAGGTTAAACAATTCACACAGTTTTGATTCTCCCTACCCCCAGTTTGCCTTGCACTTAGTGTCTTCTTGTCAAGAAGTAAAGTATCTTCATAATGGGATGGATGGAACCATTTCAGCTATTACACAGCAGTGATGGTATTGCAGGAAATCTGAAACAAATGTTAACTTCAACCCTTTTCAGCTCAAAAGAAAGAAGTATATTTACCATGCTGAGAAGTTTTCATATCACATGGTATCAATTTTCTTATGGTTCATTTGAAATAATAGAAAAAAAAAAAAAATCCATCCCCAGCTTTATGCTGTCTGAGAATTGGAGAGCAGGAAGTGAACTGTTCATGTCAAGGGGCAAGCCTCAGAAATCTGACTCCAGGAGAAGAATGCCTTGTTTCCAAAAGCACTAATACACCCATCATACAGTGCAAGCATGTTTTCATACATACATTTTAATTTATGCATGTTTTGTGGCAGAAAAGGTCCATCACTTAAGAATCAATAAAAGGGGAAAAAAAATACAACCTGCTGAAAATTAATGTTTGAAATTAATGTATTGAATTAATGTATTGAAAATTAATGTTTGAAAGCCTTGGGTCATTCTGTAATTACTTTTGGAGATTAGAAACAGATGTCTCCCTTCTAAACTGTTCCAAATAGTATATTATTTCAGAAAACCCTGTACTGGACACAGCTTTTATGTCATGTTGTGAGCCACAGAAATTTTGTAAATCAATGCTTAAGTGAGCAAATATACTAGGAAAAAACCCCAACAAGATAACCAAACAGACAAAATATGTATTTTTGTTCATTTTGACAAGTGGTGTTTTATTCCTGATCCCACTTTCAAATGCTCTCCTGAAGTCCCTTTAACAGGCTATAAAGTTCAGCTACTAAATTTGTAGATCAATTTAGGCTGAAATTTTCAATATGCTAATTATATCCTCTGTAGTGAAAAGTATTATATATTAATACTTGCTTAGAAATGTATACAAAGAAAGGGAACCTGACATGTCTCCCTTTAAAAAATGTAAGTTCAGTAACAGTTTTCAGAGTTTATGTTTCCTCTTCACCTTCAGAAGGGCTCTGCCTGTAGCCCAGATGTGAGAAGCAGCATTAGCAGACAGACATTCACTTTTCTGGTTTGAAAGGAAGAATAAATAGAATAACGTGCTGCAGATTGCATCTGTCATCATTCCCAGTGTACACCAACATGGGAATGCACCCTACCAACTTCTGCTGCTTCTTGCATGGTATGTTTTCCAAATTGTTGCCAAATATCAAGGCATATTACTAAAAATTCCTCCAAAAACATTTTTATTTCTCTTTCTAAATTTCTTTATTTCATCTTTTGATAGCATCTTTCTATAAATATTCAGTCAGTGAGGGAATACTTTGGCATTTTTGCTTAAAGGCAGCATTTTTGTTTATGTCAGCAGGAGGTTGTGGGGCTGCACATGGACTGTTTGCTGTGAGCTAGGAGCTCCATGGGGTGGAGAGCAGAGGCAAACACATTTCTACCAAGTTGTTGAGGGGTCTGGCTTAAATGTGTGTCACAAAAAGTTTATTTCTCTCTCTGGCTAATCTGCAGAGAGGGTGTGAATCTCCATGAAACAAATACTCTGAGGATGGACTATTCCTTGGACAGAATAAACAACATTGTCAGTACTTTTCCTAATAGTATTTTGAATTTCAGCAATACTTTCCTTTGACTATCCACCACAAAGATCATCCAGTTTAGTTGATTTGTTTAATATTGACAAATATAACAGAAGTACATTGTGAAGTCATGTCTTCTTTACACTGTAATCTTCACTGTCCTACCAATTGTATAAAATTTGGTACCTTGCTCCTGATGCAGCATCCCATATGATTTCCTGTGTATTTTGCCAGGAATAATATTCAGAAATAACTTATAGCTCAGACTCCACAAACAATGTTTTGAAGGAAATGTGTTGTTTATACCAACAGAAAGCCTTGTTATAGTTATATAAAATGAAACACAATAGGTACGATACAAATTGTGAGCTGTTCCCTCACTCAGTCCCTGATGTTACTTATGTAAATGGGTACATTGCACTTTAAGAAAACACTAAGCAGCTTTCAGCTAACAGAAATAAACCCAGAACTATTTCCTCAGTTCCTTGAGGCTCACTTCTGAAACTTTATCACACAGAAAATGATCATATTTTCAAAAACTAAAACTACTGATGGAGACAATCAGAGAAAGCAAGCACATGGAGGAATTGCATTAAAATATTGTAATTTAACAGCATATTGGAGAGGTGGGAAAAGGGAATAAGTAATTTGTGAGAGAGTCTGAGCTACCATATAAGCTGTCTCAAAGTGGTTAGCAGGTCTCTGGCACAAATGCAAAAAGCTGGGCATTTATGCTAATGAAAACCACTTAGTCACTTGCCAGTTATTAGCCAGGAAAATCTAACTGTATAATAACTCAGCTAATAACATTAAGTAAGTCAATAAACTCATATCATACACAAACAATTTACCCAAATGGTTTGTGCTGTGTACTTAGGACCAGACTCACCTCGGTTTGCTCTGGACATCCCCACTGGGCTGGCAGCAGTCAGTACACAGGCATAAACAGAGAGGAGACTGATTGTCCCTATGAGAGCTTGACAGCAGCAGCCAATTTCTGTTTCCACCCACATGTGCACAGTCCCAGTAATACCCAACCAAAAAAAGTTTGGTGCATGCAGCTGTTGGATGTGGAGATCAGACAGAATGGTGCTTGAATCCCCAACAGGCTGTACCACTCACTGTGCACAGGCCACAGCTAAAATAGATGCCAGCATGATCACATTAATCTTGTGAAGGGCCAGAGCATCACTCAGAGAACAGGTGGGTGCTGACAAAGCTCCCCCCAAAAGCTGGAGATGCAAAGCCAGTGTTGCTCTCAGTCCAAAGGAGTTCAAATCCACTTTCTAGAAAGTGCCTCTGGATATGAGTCATAGAGGATAGAAGACACATGGGACACAAATAGTCTTGTGCTTATTCTGACATGGATGTCAAGCAAACATCACACCACACTGTCTGTAAGAGTGGCTTTAACCTGGGGAGCAAGGAAAACACTCAGTGCTATTCTCTGGCCATCCTAAATTCAGCTCAGTTTGTAGCTGATCTTACCTCTTATTACAACTACAATCAAAGTTCTCATTTGACAGTTCCTATTTACTTTGACAGAAAAGGACTATTATTGGAAAGAGCCCTAACTAAAGAAATGGGCAAAAGTAGTAAGATATCACCATTATCTCTTTTTTCTTTCTTTTGTTATTTTTTTATTTTTTTGAGAATGAAACTAAACTGAAGCCCTTCTTTAATCACACAGTTAAGTATGCATTTAATGCAGGCTAACCAGTCACATTAGTACATCTATTAGACCACCTACCTTAATCAGCCCTCAGGGAAACACCAGTGCAATGAATATATAAATATTCTATTCCTGTACTTTTCAGTTTGCTATTTCCCCATAGTACTATTCTAATTTCAACATAATGGGGAAAAAAAGGCAACATAAACCCAATCTTCTCTGATGGACTGAACAACCAAATACCACACTTGTAGAGAGATGTTTATCTGGAGACTTGAAGAAGGAGTAAGTCTCCACTGTTCAAACAAAGCATAAAATCCCAAGTAAGCCCATTTTGTATTTAAATTTGCAACATATCCTGCAGGACATAATGCATGACACATGCCTATCTCAGCCCTTTGATAGCTCACATATCTTGGTCTCATTGAAGAGGAGAAGCTGGGAGACTTATTTATTTTTCTTTTCAGCTTGAATTTCACTTTTGGCACTCCTTTTTAAGAATAAAAATATAGAACACTTTTTCTTTTCCTCAATATCATCACTTGATATATTCAAAGGACAAAAAAAGATTGTGTCAGTAGCTCATTTAACCAGAACAAACTGAATTTAAAAGGAAAAAAATAGGCTTTGAAAGTACCATTTCTAGATGGTTAGCAGAGCTATGTGAGGAAAAGATCTTTTAACTCCAGCAAGAAGCAAACCACAATGCAACCACAAAAAACTTCACCAAGAGATAATTTTTCCTTCATCTTGCTCTGTAGGCATACCTTTGTATTTTCCTCTTACATGAGTAGAGCAAGAATTGATTATGACCCTGTTGGCCTGTTTTCTCTCTTTTTGTGTATCTGTACTGAACCAAGCTGGGAAGATAAACTGTACTCAGGGGACATCTGCTTCAAGTGGGTAGAAAATGTCATTAATAAAACCTTTTTTTGAAGGCCTGCTTGGCTTATCCATTACAAGAGGCAGTCTAGACCAACACAACAAGGGGATTTTCCTTTAAGCCCCAGGTGACAAGTTCTGCCGTGACACCTGCCAGAGGCTTATCACCAGTGTTCACAAATTTCTACATTCACCTAAGAAGCAGGATCATGACTTCTCTCATGGCACTTTCTAGGGGAGCCAATGTTGAAAAGTTGCTTGTATTTTCTCACAAATGCCATCTTGCAGCTTCCATCAGGGACAGAAATTAAGCAAAACCATTACATGACCAAGGACAAGCCGTGGTGTTTCAGCCTGACAGGTAAGACACTGTATATCATGGTAATTTTCTTATTCTGACTTCCTCTATGCTGACACAAATATTTATCTTGGACATTCTGCTGTTTCTCATTCCTTCCTAATCCTAATTCCTTCCCCAGCCTTAGGGTGGGGACACACTTTCATGTGTCTAATACATGCTGTCTCTAGGCCTTATCACAACATAAACAACCAATGAGTGCAGCAAGCACTGTTGAAAGTAAGAAGTGTTACATAAGTCATAGCTCTGAGTGTTAATATATCACTTCCACCTGCACAGGTCTCTCACAATATTTTTACTAAGAAAGCGAGCCTTTAGAGTGTGGAGATCTTGAGCTGGTCTTTGAAACCTCTGTGTTTTACTTTTGGGGTAAATAACTCATTCTCTTTTCACTAGAAATGCTTGAGCGATGTAATGAATGTTGCTGACCTGTTCGTGATTTCAGACAACTGTGATTTTAACAATCAACCAACTATGTTTTCCTGTGATTGGTTCCCCCCACACCACTACGTGAATGTAGCCAATTCAAGAGGGATATTGGAAACCTCCAAGTTCAAAACACGTGCTGAAAAAGATTCCACTAAATCCTGCAGTTTGGGCATTCCAAGGTTATGCTTCTGGTTTTCCAGGTTATCTGTGGTACAGTTAGATGCCTAAGTGGCCATTAGTAACCTAACAACCTACCTGGTCACTGGGTACACATGCAAATTTAGGACAATATTATATACACAGTTGTGTGGACTCAAACTTCCAGAACTGTGTCCTTTAACCCACCCATCATAGCAAGCAGCATAGAAAGCCAGCACTGCATTTGTGCAGTGGAACACTGCTAGGAATTCTCATGGGTGACTCTATGGGTTAGGGTCACCATCTTACCAGGAAGTCTGTCTGGGAAAACTGCAGTTCCACAATAATGCTTCTACTACTGCTGAC